TTCATTCAAACAGATCCACTTATAGTCGACAACGAAAAAATAACCAAAATTGAGCTAATACTTAGTCATACAGATCCTTTCGTAGGCGTATTTTTGGTTCAAAATTTCAATAAAATAAAAACCACAAAATGGTGTACATTTTTCCCTGAGCTTCTCTTCCTTTTGGCTTTAAAACTCCATATAGAGCTAATAAAGGATTGAAACTAATGGGATTTGTAACTAGGCAGCTTTCAGATTTTACTGATATAAAGTGTATCAAAAGTGTTTATTGTGCTGTGATTCATGTGTCATTGAATATGCATGCCCTGTATGGTCCTCACATTATGAAATCCATATATCTCGTTTAGAAAAAGTGCACCAACGTTTTTTAAAGGTTTATGGTTTTAAACTAGGCATAGGTACCTATAGATAACTTAGATTATACTGTCTTAATGTCACATTCAAACATGTTGAGCTTGGAAAAACGGAGAATTTATTTTAATATTCTCGTGATGTATAAAATACTGGATAATATACTTAATTCTTTTATTGATTGCCCGAATCTGCTGAATAGAATCCAATTTTCTTGATGGACCTCAATGAAATAATAGATGTGATTTTCTCAGTGTGTTTCATAGAAATTATGGGTTGGTTATACAAGGGTTATCAGTGTTATCACCAATAAATAGATTGTGCTCAGAAAACAATATTCTCGCCAATATTTATGCCTACAATGTTAAGTTAAATCAAAGGTTAAATATATTCAAGGATATATTTAACTGTACCTACCCTGACTAGTCTAAAACCCGGTCTAAAACAATTTCTTCAAAGAACACTATATTAAACTTTTGACTATATTCTAAACCTCGATTTTAGCTATCAACTGCAATGAAATAGACTAGAGAACCTGTTATGTTTGTTTGTAATATTTAGGTAATCGGTGAATATGTATAAAATATTTATTCCGAGGGGTCAACCACTATGCTTACAAATGTACAATGATTTCAATATTTGGCAATCACTGATCAATGAATCTCATGTATTCTTATTTCAAGAATTGCGACTGATTGCCAATGATTTTATGATATTTTTGTATGATTGAGTACCAGATGATTTTCATTTTTTCTGGGGATTCCTATATTATTCTCAATTGATTACCTGATATCCTACAATTCTCCGATTTCCAGCTGATTTTACTACAAAATCGATATCTAATTGTTAAGCTTTGCACTCGGCTTTGCATTGATATGACCAAAATAAAATAAAGTATTTTCTCTTAAAAAAACACTGACAAAATGGCAACTTCTGTATTTGCAACTCTTCCCAAAGTTAGCAACTTTTATTTTCATGGTTGTCCACACCCACACCGATTTTGTTGTAGGTATAAATAGTTGTTGAGCCCGAGATACCATTGCGTGTCTACACTGCATAATATGGATCTAAAATAATGGATATTTCTTTGATTTCACTAGGATGTTCATCTGAATCAGAGACATCTTCAGTTAGGGTTTCACTCGACAAACCTATTTCTGATTCTGATGTGCTATCGTCTCTGCTCCTGGCCCTGCCTAGTATTTATTCTACTTTCACTTTTCAAGTTCTTATTGCCTTGGATTCCTGACTTTTTCAGTTGTTTTTTTCTCAGAGACATTCCCATAGCTCTCAATACTGGATCGACAAACATCCCTGCTTCTCTGAAAAGAACCAAATTAAAGTTGAGCCTTGAATAATCTCTTAATTGTAGCGAATCGCAATTGCTAAACCCCGATGTGTGACGAAATTCTGTGTCTTTTTTTGGCAAGACGGATTCGAGAGAGGTTTCAAGATTCATGTTTTCATTTTTATGATCTACAAAATATTGTCATACTACTCATACTTTAGGTCTGTTGTCACAGAAATCACAAACCAGTTACAGTGAATTTCCTTGGTTGAAAATAGTCAGAAAACTGGTTGTTGGCAATTTGCACCAATTAAAAACGCTCTGACTGGTTTGTGATTTCTGTAAGAACAGACCTAATCTTCATCTTGTTCTTCTTCTTCAAGTTCTAAACTCTTTGTAGTCTCGAGTTCAGTTATTGGCTCGGATATTAAGAAACTCGTTGGGATCACTTCAAATTCTCTAGCGTTGCCTAAAACTTAGTCTTGAAGGCAAATATGTCATTGGCAAATACACAACTGACCGGTACGCTGTATCGTTTAAAATGTATAATATGCGATTTCTGGATTAGAATGAAATGATATTCCCAGCGATTATCACATGATTCTCAGTGATTGCCAATGGATTCGTATGTGATTCCCATGAAGTCCTAGGAGAGTCCTAACGATTCCGAGGGACTCCCAAGTGATTTCCATGTATTCCTGATTGAATACTGTAATTCCCAAAAAAATGTACAATGATTTCCACTAGTGGTTCACCCCCTTGATTTATTCAGTTATGTATTTCTGATGATTCTCTTGAAATATATTGAGGAGAAAATGTCCAAAATGAGTAAAAAATTGCATTTTCAGCGATTTTCCTCTTCTTTCCATTCCATTCAAACCCCTTCCAAAGTAGACGTTAAAAAACAACGTAAATTAAAGGTTAAAGACAAACAGATTCTTCTGTAGGCGTATTTTTGGTTCAAAATTGCATTAAAAACCACAAAATGGTTCAGTGGCGGATCCAGAGGATTAAAGGTGAATATGTTTATCTCAAAAAATTTAAGTAGAAGCATTTGTTTCTGTTTTATTCATATGAGCCATTGTTTCTTATGGCAAAAACAGATAGGTAGGTAAATTTTTTTTTCTGGAAAACTGTTAGAGACTTGGTTAGAGATAAACCTACCGAACTTTATATCATTGAAAGCATCAAAATCCAATCAGTTATTGATATAGGGTGTTCCATCAACCCTGCACATACTTATATCAAAAAACGGAAAAGAATACCTAAATAAAAATACGAGTAAAAATACCTAGGTATTCCAAATAAAAATGAAACCTCAAATGAAACAATAGGTAGTGTCAGCTTGGAAAATTTTCCTTTTTATTTTATTGGAAAATTTTTCTATAAACTTTCATTGGAAAAATTCACTATAAGTCTGATTTTTTTGAAATTTTTAGTAATTTTTTAGGCTCTCAGAGGTCTCTGGGTCCGCCACTGAAATGGTTCAAAATTGTGATCCAAGATGAGTGTAAAATTGCATTCTAACATCTGCCTTTTTGCACTACTTCTTCTATTACTTAATTCGAACAGAATTATGGAACTTTGGAAGATGATTATTTATTAAATACTTACCTACGACCAAATTTACATCTCAATTATGCTTTTGTCTCGGCTTTTGTTTTAATTTTTTTTGTCCTAAAAGTGCTTCCTTTTGGGTTTTTCCGAAGGTTTTTCCTTGTTTCAAGAGAAAAATTGAAACATCAAAAGAAAATGTCCAAAATCGCCTTATAAACCACAAAATGGTCTAAATTTGTTCTAAAAGTGCTACTTATTGGCTTTTTCTGCCATTATAAGAATCAAAGAATCTGAGACATACCAGTCATAAATCCATGATATAATTGGATCTACTTCCTACGGCCCTTAGTTTTAGAGAGAGGAGATAATAATGCTTTACCAAGCGGTTAATCTGTCAAACGGTTTAGAGAAGTCTGTAGACAGAGTCAAACCACCTTTGCTATTCCATTTGATGGTGAAGAAAATTTTGGTATAATACTAAGTTGGTTTCAGTCGATGTCCCAATGGATCTTCCCTTGAAAAATCCAAACTGTTCCGAATTTATCACATCGTTTTTTCATCCCATGATAGTCTTTCCCGAGGTCTTTCCAAGAGTCTTTCAGACAAGCCTTTCCAAAAGCTTAGCGATTTCAGACTGGTTGGACACTAAGAGACTTTTTACTATTAAAAGTGGCCTCAGCAATCCAATAGTACCTGAGCCTCGACCTGAGCATTATAAACTGGTTGGCAAATAGTGGTCATCGGGAAAATATGAAGTAGGTATAAAGAGTGACTCACTGGTTTCGCAAAATCTTGTCAACATGAACATAAATTTCCAACTTAAAAACTAACAGGAACTCAACCTAATCCTATATAGGACCCAGAAAAAGTTATGAATTTGTCGAGGAATTTGTCATGTGCACATTTTAAATGTATCCAAGTGACACTAATGCAGTGCGGCAATATTTTTCTATGGATTTTGCTGTTAAGGTACATCAGGGTCTTCTGAGAAGAGAAAACAACAAACCATGGGGGTCAATTCTTGAATATTCTCGCATATGTAAGTTGATTGGAATTCGAATGACAACAATGGAAATTGAATAGGAAACATTCAAAATCATATCAATTTTCATATGCGAGATAATTCAAGAATTAGGGGCCTGATCTATTGACTATTATTGAACTACCTCCTTTCGGTCTAAGGCTTGAAAATTAGGAAAAAATCCCTGCCCAAAAGATTAAGAGGAGGATAAAGATCGGTTGTTATCAAGGTTGTGACTAATTACCTCTTCTACTAGACTAGAGTGACCTGACATGGCAAGATAAGCTAGTAGGTAGATACCTGTGATAGTACCTTATCTAAAACAACTAAATGAATAGGTACCTGTACCATATTATGGAATATCAAGAATTATTATTTTTGTATCTCTCATATTAGGTATAAATTAACAATAAAATCGAGCACGAAATTCCAAAATTAAATATTCCAGTCAAGCACACGTTGGGGTACAAGAATTAATTCTTGTGTCAAGCATGAAAAAGAACGAGACGCAAAAAACGTGTGGAAAATTTCAATATAAATAAAATGACACCCATTTTACAACATGGGCTTGACCCCGAATGGGCATTTAAAAGTCCCCACGTTTTGCCAGTGTGAACACGGCTTTTACCTGCTGGGTACTAATCAGGTTTTCTCTCTCTCAAGTCTTGACCACTTGTAGGAATGTACCGTTTTTTAAATTATTATTTAATTCTGAATTTTTCAAAATAATTCGAATGTGGCAATCCAAAATAAAACGGAAAATCAATTGACTCTCAAATTTACCTGTATAAATTCCAGTTCCAGTGATGAAAAACAAAAATAAAAGTTGTTCAACAGTTTTATTAATCCATGTTCTAATGTTTTTGTTTACCAGTGTATAGACGAGGCACTTATATCACTAAAAAACTAACTGAAACCGCTCTAAACTGAGTGCAGAAAGTGTATTGCGTGTTTACCAAAAGTTTTTCCGCGCTTTTCGCGTGAAAATCCACGTGAATTTCCGTGTTTTTCGACAGCACCACACAACGCGTCCTCGAAACTCAAACAAATCAAACTAAAATAAAAAAAAAAAAGGTAATACGGATTGGGGTGGGGATTACGGTGGATGAAAGAAGAATGGAATGGAGGAAGTTTGGCGACTGCGCATTACAGCGGTTGAAAGGTTTTAGTTAATTCGTTTTGGGTTGGTAACTTGTTTCTTGTTGTCATTTCACTCTAATATAAATATAAAAAGAGATACAAGCATTTTTAATGGGCTTATTATTTTTTGCCTAAAGAAAACGCTACCATTTTCCCGCTCTTTCCTCTTCAACTTCGATGTCAAAATTGTCAATTTGCTTTCAAAATTGAGGTTAATTCATTTGATTAGTTGGTTCAGAAAGTTGTTGTTTTGTGATTTCTCAGCAAAATTAAATTAGAATATTGGTAAAAATGAGTGAAAATAAGAATAGCCCGATTCCTGATGATAAAATGATGGCTTATTTGTACGACGACGTTGACGACGCTGATATTTTCGGCTTTGGTGATACTGGAGAAGAAGAAGGTACCAGAACCAATGTAAGGAAATTTTGTCTATTTGTCGAGTAAAGTTTATGCTATGAATTTAGAGCTGTGAACTTGAGATAGTTACTCCAAATTTCAATTAGCCTAACTCGAGGGGTTTTTCACCTAACAAAATGTGTACACCGATTAACAGTACTAATTCTGAGATATTTCCATGTATTAACAAAATATTTCCACATATTGCCAGGTATTTCCCTGGTATTATCACATATTATCACGTATTGCCATGCTATTGACACTATTGACAGACTAAAATCAAATATTTGTCTTGCCAGAATTCTAGGTATTGACATATCCACAGGTATTTACATGTTATTAATGGGTATCAACCAATGACATTTACATATTGGAGTTCGAGGAATAACAAATAGCTTAATCAGATCTTACTTGTCAGGAAGAATGCAGTCTGTTAAATTGAATGATACCAACAGCGATAAGCGGTTGGTGGACTATGGTGTTTCACAGGGTACTGTACTGGCACCCATCCTATTCAATATTTACATAAATGGTATCTTGTCAGTCCTAAAACAGGGAAATGTATACTGTTTCGCTGATGATACAGTGATAATCATAAATGACTCTGATTGGGATGCTGTAAAGAAAAAGTCGGAACTTGCAATGGTTAAAGTTAAAAAATGGCTGGACAACAGTCTTTTGTCACTCAATACTGATAAGACCAAATTAATTGCATTTTCTTTAAAGTCTAGATACTTGCCCACGTTTCAAGATATTACTCTTCATAACTATAACTGTAATTTAGATGATATATGCCAATGTGATCAATTAATTAAAAGAACTAATAATGTCAAGTACTTAGTTATTATAATAGATGAAATGTTAACTTGGAAAGATCATATAATGTACATTACAAACAAAATCCGTAAACTTATATACAAATTCTATGAGCTAAGAAATATATTCACTTTTAAAATGTTAAAAATAATTTATCAGTCTCTTGTAGGATCGATAATGTGCTATGGTTTAGTCATCTGGGGATGTGCTGGAACAACTGTCCTAAAAAAACTAGAAATTGCGCAAAAAGCCATTCTTAAAATTACCTATACTTTTTAAAAAAAGAAGGTACCCATCAATTCTAGCATACAAAGATAGTCAAACCCTTAACCCTAAACAACTTCACGTTAAAGCGATAATCAGATTTATGCTACAAAATCCAAACTATACGGAAACCATAATAAATCATGGTAAAAATACTAGAGGCGAAGCCAAAAACAACATTTCCCTATGCAACCCCAGACATTCTATATGCCAGAACCACATCTATTATGCAGGACCTAAACTATTTAATATGCTACCAAATAAGTTTAGAGATAAACCCTTCTACAAAATTAAAAATGAGATTATAGATTGGATAATGGATAAAAACATCATCATTACATCACTTGTTAAGGTTTTACCCTCTTATCATTTCATTCAGCGGAATTCACACTACCCCTTCCAAGTGTTTCATGACTTGTAAACGAAAACTCGAATATTGTATAGAATTATAAATGTATATGAGGCGCACACACAGTATATTTATACCATAGTGCGTCGCAAACTTTTGTTAGCAAAAAAAACTAGGTAAATCAGTTAGTTTTCGTACGATTTATTAAATAAGTATAATTGATAACTACTATTGTTGATGATTTGTAATATTTGCTGATGAATAAATTGAAAAAAAAAAATATATTGCCTAGGTCCTAGATATCTACAAGTATTGACATATATTACCTACATAATTAACAAGTAGGTATTGCATAGTATTGACACTATTGACATGGTATTTACCATTGGTATTTACCTGGTATTGACATATATTAACCAGTGATTTGTACAGGGTGTTTCAAATTCGAGCCACATCATTGGGATCTCGGAAACGGTAAGATATACCTAAAGGGTTGGTTAAATGGGGGCAAAGTTGCGTAATTTGATGCTTAACAAAATGCCACTGTGATATTTAGGATATTCCGAATACTTCCGGAGATATCCGGAAAAAAACGAAATTTTGCAAAATTGTTTTTATTTTTTCCTGACTTTATTTGGAGTGATATTCCAAAAAAAATATCACATCATTGTAGCCACTTTTTCTTCCCCACAAGATGCTACCATCAAATTTATAATCTGACGTTTCGTCTTTGGGTCACCATCATCAACTCTATTTTTTTAAATACGACCCTGGATTTTTTATTTCAGATTTTTAGTGCTTCTGATGTCCCAAAACCTATGACGTATCGATTTATTCGAAAAAATATTTTTTCCATTTTTTAGTAATTTCCTACCAAAATTCTCTTCTCTGTCTCTCTCTAACACATTTGGTTCTTATGGAAAGTACCAATAATATACATTTTTTGAATAAGTGCAATACGTCATTAGTTTTGGGACATCAGAAGCTTGTGAAATCTAAAATAAAAAATAAGGGTCCGTATTTAAAAAAATGAAGTTCATGATGGTGGCCCAAAGACGAAACGTCAGATTTCAAATTTGATGGTAGCATCTTGTAGGGGAGAAAAGGTAGCAATGATGAAGTGACATTTATTTTGGAATATCACTCCAAATAAAGTCAGGAAAAGATAAAAACAATTTTGCAAAATTTCGGTTTTTTCCGGATATCTCCTGAAGTATTCGGAATATCCTAAATATCAAAAAGGCATTTTGTTAAGCATCAAATTACGCAACTTTGCCCCCATTTAACCAACCCTTTAGGTATATCTTACCGTTTCCGAGATCCCAATGATGTGGCTCGAATCTGAAACACCTTGTACACCAATTAACAAGGTGAAAAACCCCTCGGCCTAACTTATTATATTGTGACTTTTCATTGTTATATGAGCCGGGATATGAGCCCCATAAGTATACTACACTAAGTTAAGTTACTGTTAACCATTGTGAATTATATACAAGCAGTTTTTAGCTATTTCCCTAATACCTCTCATTTCCACAATACATTTGGTTTGGTATCACCTTTGTAGAATCATTTTCTATTTTTCATGATGTACAAACCTAGTCCAATAGCTGTTTGTATCATGTATGATTTTTTTTTCACGACACTATATTATGGTACCTACCTATTCAGTGCTAAAAAATAAGATCTACCTTACATAATTAATAACTTACATAGGTACCGGTACCTAATAAAAAATTATATTTATATTATTATTATTTTGTATTTGTTACTTAATCTGTATTTTTTCATTTTTTTCCCAAGATAGACACGACCGACGACACAACATTGAAACAGTAGTTTTAAGTTTCCCCTCGAGTTTCCCAACACTTACATATTTTGAGAGAAAACTAAAACGAAAGAACTTCATTATTAGTAATTCCAGAAGTTAACTTCTAGTCTTCTCTCAGAATAGTTTTATCCTCGGTTTTATCTAAAGCTTTATAATACCCACTCTTAGAATAAATATTTACACCGCATCTTGCCATGATGAACCGTTTTCGAGTTAGGGCAGTTTGAAGTTACCAATGGAAGTTACAAACGCCTAGGCTGTTCACATCGGCTTTGGAGACACAATATTAACATATTTATCTCATCAATCTCACTAGAGCGATTTGCATCCACTCAAAGTATAGGCTATTGGTATATGGCACTGTTCAAGTGTTCACTGACGACTGAACAAACAGAAGGCTGGTGATTTTGGAGGTTCGCCGGTGTGACGTCACAAGTTCCCGCATAATAATTATTTATGTTTTCTTGAATACTTTTTTAAATGTAGGACTGCGATCCCCTTTCGTTTCCTATGTATTATGGATCTATAACAGTTAAGTAGAAAATTTCATGAAAAGCTACCTAAAATCGTGAATGCAAAAAGTTCGAGTTGGCACTTCCCTTTCACAAGCTTTTCCATCTGCATTTAGAGTTCCACAGGGTAGTAATTTAGGCCCATTACCGATATTGTAAGCGTGGTTAATGAGTCAGAATGTCTGTTATTTGCTCGGTTATTTGCAGATGATTTCAAGATTTTTAAGTGTGTTACAAATGATAACGATTGTGTCGCCCTTCAGGATGATCTGAACTCAGTTTCTGATTGGTTCAGAAGAAATAAAATGATGGTTAACTCTAAAAAAAGTTTTGCTATGTCATTCACAAACAAAACTTATCCTATATTGTTTTGATATTCAATTGATAATAATAAACTTCAAAAAAAGACTGAGTGCATGGATCTTGAGGGGTGCTTCAAGATCAATTTAAAATTTAATGAACATTATGAGTATGTTATTAATAAAGCATATAGATATCTTGGATTCATTATGCGTAACACAAAACGATTTAATGATGTGGGTGCCGTAATTAAGCTTTATAATGCTCATGTTCGTTCAGACTTAGAATATGCTTCTGTTGAATGATCTCCGCAAACAAAAACACACTATGAGGTAATTGAACCCGTTCAAAAAAGATTTTTTAGGTTTTTGTATTGAGGTGGAAGCCGAACCTATTTTGGGAAGGTTTAGAGTTATGTGTAGGTATTTTTTGGCCGAGTATTCTTTTTGCTGTAATAATGAATACTTGGAACTCGACTTGGAACAAAGATTTAAGATTGGTATTTAGCACCTTATGACAACTGGGTTTCCTTATTTTAATCTGTTTTTTCACTTAATTTGATTTATATTTTCACCCGAGTTTTCACCTCAATTTTTACTATACTTTAATCTACTTTTTATATTTATGATATTTTGTTAACAATATATGTACTATATTTATTTTTGTTGGTTTTATTTGTAAGTATATTATTTTATTTTATTTCAATTTCAGTTTTCTGTATGGTTAACATAAAGTGGCGAACATAATTTTTCTCATAATATAGGTACATGATGGTTTTTGCCCAACGCTTTGTCAAAAGAATTATACAGTTTAAGATAGTGAGGTAGTAGTAATAATAGCAATATTTATACTCGCGTGAATGACCTGTACTCACTTTCCAAACGTTACATGAATACTTACCTAAATTATATTAACAAATACTTTCCCAATCTAAACCCTTCTTTCACCAGATTTTAATTGAGTCATTGACTATAACTATACTGAATTTTTTTTTTTTTTCAGGATGATTATGGAGATACACCCGACAACAACAGACTTGATTTTAAATCTTTAGAAATCATAAACGAGAACCAAATTTTAAAAGAAACAATTCAAAGGCTTAGGCTACAAAATGATACGCTGGATCAAAGAATTTCAGAAGTCTATAAAACTGCCAAGCGCGAAATAGAAAGAAAAGATAAGAGAATTCAAGAATTGCAAGACGAGACAAATAATATTCTGTTTAGGAGGAACTACAACCGATTTAGCGGCCAAATTAAACCTCAAAAATTTTTCACAAATGAAGATTTCCAACAGTTCAGAACTGACTATAAAATTCCTAAAAAGAATGCTGATTGTTCAAATGAATCTGAGCAGAAATGGAGTAAATCAAACGTATTGGATGATAGAGATAGTCTTTCTCCACCAAGACAAAAAAAAACTGTACAAGAGAATGAGAATCATCAGGATAAAAGCGGAAAATATCCCACAAATCCATCAAAAAATAAAAGGTACCAAGATAGAGGATCACCGCCAAGATTCAAAGCAGATAATATTGATAACCAAGATGATCCAAAATTACCTTATACACGCAGAAGTCGCTCTAACACTCCGTCAAGACGAAATAGAACTTCCGCTGAAGTTCGACATAGATCTTCTTCAAGAAGTCCACGCAGATACAAGAATTACCAAGATAGATCTAGAACACGTAAAATATCAGCAAGAAGTCCTTCAAGGAATAAATCTAGGTCTAAATCGGCTGCTGGAAACAGAGTTGCAGCAGATCCTAGAGACATTGATAAGAAAAGGGTGTACCCCAACACACCATCAACAAAAAATAGATCATCTTCAAAAAGTCCAGATCGAGGTCCCGATAGACAGAAGAATAATCAATCACCTAAAATAACAACAAGAAGTCCGATGAGACAGAAATCAAGGTCTACATCAATTGAAAACAGCACTGAAGCAGCTCAAAAAGTAACTAACAGAGAAAGGGAGCCCAACTCTCCATCCAAAGAACATAGATTATCATCACGAAGTCCACAAAGATACAAGAATTACCAAGATAGATCTAGAAAACGTAAAATGTCAGCAAGAAGTCCTTCAAGAAATAAATCTAGGTCTAAATCGGCTGGATATAGAGTTGAAGCAGATACTAGAGACAATGATAAGAAGAGGGTGTACCCCAACACACCATCAAGAAAAAAATCAATTATCACTGGAACAGAACATAGATCATCTTCAAGAAGTCCAGATAGACAGTTGAATAATCAATCACCTAAAATAACAACAAGAAGTCCGTTGAGACAGAAGTCAAGGTCTACATCAGTTGAAAATAGCACTGAAGCAGCTCACAAAAAAACTAACAGAGAAAGAGAGTGCAACTCTCCATTAAAACAACATAGATCATCATCACGAAGTCCACAAAGACACAAGAATTACCAAGATAGATCTAGAAAACGTAAAATATCAGCAAAAAGTCCTTTAAGGAATAAATCTAGGTCTAAATCGGCTGGAAACATAGTAGAAGCAGATCCTAGAGACATTGATAAGAAAAGGATGTACCATAACACACCATCAAGAAAAAATTCAATTGTCACTGGAACAGAACAAAGATCATCTTCAAGAAGTCCACATAGACAGAAGAATAATCAATCACCTAGCCAACCTAAAACAACAAGAAGTCCGTTGAGACAGAAATCAAGATCTACATCAGTTGAAAAGCGCACTGAAGCAGCTCGCAAAGTAACTAACAGAGAAAGACAGCGCTACTCTCCATTGAAAGAACATAGATCATCACGAAGTCCACAAAGACACGAGAAGTACCAAGATAGGCCAAGCAAACCTAAACCACCACGGCGAAGTCCTATGAGACACAAATCACGATCAGTTGAAGCAGATCAAAAAGCCACTAAAAGGGGAAGAGAGCGATCCAACTCTCCATCAAGAGAACATGGATCATCTTCAAGAAGTTCACAAAGATACAGGAACTGTCAAGAGAGGCCTAGACAACCTAAACCACCACCAGGAAGTCCAAGGAGAAAAAAATCGAGATCTGCATCAGCTGAAAACCAAGGTGATGCTTGTAAAAGGGAAGAACATCAAGAAAAACATAATAGGTTTGAGTCACCATCTACAAGAAAACCAGTTGTTGTTGATCAGTATAAACAAAAGCGACCACCAAGAACGCCTCCAGGAAGTCCATCAAGTACAAAAAGACGAAGAACACCGTCTCCTAGAAGAAATACTGACAAAAGGCGTCAATCTAGGCCTTCTGAAAGAGCTACTAGAGGGCGCAGTATCGAACGTAGATTAGGATGGAGAGGTAGAAGAGGTATTTATAGAGGACTTCATAACGATTCTGTGTCTTTAAGGAGGCCAACAGATTATAGGAGACGAAGTGATTATAGAAAACGAAATATAGAACAGTTTAGACGGAAAATAAAACAACACATCATTGAAAGTAATCTGGAAACATCGAAATTTGATAAGCAGGAAAGGGACAATAGTGGCGACGAAGACATTTGTAAAATGACTGATGAAGACATACTAAGACGTCTTCAAGAGAAACGAAAGGAATTAAATGGCATTGAGGAGGGAGGGTTAAGAGATGACGATAAAAATATAAATTTGCTAAAAAATGCCAAGAATAATGAGAAGTGCAAGAAATTTGATAAATCCAAAAAGGAAACTTACAAGGATCTTCTAAAAGAAACACAGAACATCAAGAAGCAGGCCCAGAAGGACATGTTAGGAATTAAAAAGCCAGAAATAAACCCAAACGTGGAAACTAAACTTTTAGAAACCTTAAAGTCTCCAGATGCTGAAGATCCAAGACTAAATCCAAGGTCTGGTGGTTCAAAATCAGAAATAAACCCAAATGTGGAAACTAAACTTTTAGAAATCCTAAAATCTCCAGATGCTGAAGATCCAAGACTAAATCCAAATTCTTGTGGTTCAAAAACAGAAATAAACCCAAATGTGGAAACTAAACTTTTAGAAACCCTAAAATCTCCAGATGCTGAAGATCCAAGACTAAATCCAAGTTTTTGTGATTCGAAATCAGAAAAACCTAGAGCTAGAATTAATTTTGAGGCGTACAAGAAAAGGAGGGAAGCAGAAGGTCGTGCTGATTTGGCTAGAATCGTCATTTATCAAGAAATTGATATTGAAAATCATAAAATAAGTAAAGACAGTAATACAATTATTGCAGAAATCCAAAATAGAGATTCTGAAGAAGACCCATCAGACAATAATGACCACGAACCAGAAGAAAAAGAGGTTGAAACCCTAATGGAATCTGACTATAAATATACCCCAGCTGTCGATGATGAAGATGCTAAATTGGACCTTCCTGAGGAAAAAAATTCATCAAGCAGTTTTTTAGATGATTTCAACATATCAGAAGATGATGATAGGTTTGGAAGAAGTGACTGTTCTATTGGAGAGTCTAAAAAAAAGCAGGCCCAGAAGGACATAGAGATAAATGCATTCAAAATGCATTCAAAGTTGGAAACTAAAGCTTTAGAAATTAAAAAATCTTTAGACACTGATGATATGAATTCAAATGCAATTGTTAAGAACTCTCGACCAGAAACAACTGATGTTTCAATCAATTTTGAAACGTTCAACCAGCACAAGGGTGTGTCTTATTTGGCTTCAGTTGAAAGTAAACCCGAAGTTGATATCACAGATAAAAAAATGAGCGAGGAACATTGTAAAGACAAAACAAGTGAAAAATCTGACCGAGATGAAATTGTTAGTTTGCCCATTATAGATGTGAAAAAATGCGAAGTAAAAATCCCCAAGGTTAATATTTTGTCTAATGTAGTGATAACAGCAGGGTAGGACATTTAAAAATTCTATATTTATATTCGTTTTTTTAATATTGTCCAATTTCAGCAGTTCTCCACAAACCTCAACAAAATCGACCACCGTGGAAAGCTCAGTTGAAAGTATAGAAAGTATTCAAAAGGCAGTTTTAAATAGTGCTATTCAGAATAAAGCTCTCGAGTAAGTACAATAATCATTATTTTAAACAAAATTTTGCAAGGTCAATGTTATTCTACTGTTTTTCTAGAATTTTGGAAATAAAGGACAATATTGATAAAAAATTAGACCAAAATAAAAAAGAATTGATTAATCAACTGTTTGGTGAAATGACTCCTAGTCCAAGGTAAAATCCTTCAACATTTTTAATTCATATCTCATTGTATATATTTTTGTCTTTCAGAAAACCCTCTCCAGAACCAAAAGTGAAGAAAACTTCAAGACAAGTCGAACAAGCTAAGAGACAATTAAAATTACAAGTAGACCCAGTAAAGACAATAAAAAAATCGCCCAGAAGCAGAAAGAAAGTTGAACTTAAACAACTTTTGATGCAGTCCGAGATTATTGAGAATGAAGAAGTGGAAACTCGAACTATTGCAACTAAACTTGAGGATCTTCAACCCCGTCTTCAACATAACAATCCATCATTGTAAGTAGAATTTTGGATTTTTTTTTTATTGTTTATAATTTATTTATTTATTTTTTTCAGTTTTCCCTCTCTTCCTGGTGATAATAAAGCCTTCGACACTCCTAATACTTACATAAAGAAAAAAAATGAACAGAAAAGGAAGCCAGCTGCCAAGAATAATAAAAAGACAGAAAAACCAAAGGTTGAAGCTAAGAAGAGGGGAGTATTTAGAATAAAATTACAAACTAGCAGAAAAAAAAAGAAAATTCAGAATTATGAAACTTCTTCTTCTGAGCTTAGCAGTGATTCTTACTCTGATTGTCAATCACCAGAACCAGAAAATAATAAGAAATCAAAAATGGAAACCAAGAAGAGGGTAACAAGAAAAAGCAAAACTGCCCAAGAAAAAATTGAAGAAGTAGCGAAAAAGAAAACAACAAATAATAATGCCAAAAGTGATGTTATAGGGAATCAAGAATTAGACAGTAACATCAAAATAGAGCCGGAAAAAATCACTGATGCTGACAAATCTGAAGATATTCAATATACTGAAACGAAAACCAATAAGAGAAGCAAAGCCAAATCAGTAAAAGTTGATGACAATGTGATAACAGAAGGCAAATGTGATATAACTAAAGATAAATCTGACGACAAGGTTGAATTGATACCCAGTATAAGAAACAGATCAAAATCAGTAAAACTTTGTAACAATGTCAGGTTTGAAGCAAAAGTCACTGATATAAGCGATGATAAATCTAAAAACATTGAAAATAATCAAGTACAAAGGAATAGATTCGGAGTCAAATTATTGAAAGCTGCTGATAATGTAATTGCTGAAGAAAAATGCAAAGAAGATGAGAAATGCGATAGCAGTGAGAATTCAGAAGTAAACACCAATAAAAGGGATCAAACTGTGATAACTGAAGAAACAAAGATCAATAAAAGAAACAGAGCCAAACTAGTAAAAGTTTTTAAGACTATGGAAAAATCCCCAGATAATAATAAAGATATTCCAATTAATCAAACAATAGCTAATAAAAAAATCCAAGCCAAACCAGTAGAAGTTAGTGATATTACTAAAATCGATGAAAAAATCACAGATCGTAATGAAGATAAATCTGAAAACAGTAAAAATACCAAAACAAACGCCGATAAAAAAAGAAGTGCCAAAGCAGCTAAAGTTGAAGTTATTAAATTTGAAGAAAAAACGGAAAATCTTCAAAATACTGAAACAAATACAAAATTTCAAGCAAAAGCTGATAATACTCCCAAAATTGAAGAAAAAATCAGTGATTTTAGTGAATTTTCTTTCTCTAAAACCACAACAAGACGGCGAATCAATCCAACAAAAGTCGGTGAAGTAACCCCGAGTAACAAGAGAAAGCTAGATACTCAAGAAGAGACTATACCAAACAAATTACCAAAACTAGAACAATCTCCTCTTCCTCATATGGAAAGCATGTTGAAACAACTAGAAAGTAAATCCAGTCCTCAAACATTGGAACCAAGAGACTGTTCCAATAAAATAACCGCAGTCAACGTTGAAAATGGTGTCGTGGAAATAAATATAAACTCAAAAGACGTCTCATTGGGTCCCATGGATAATTTATTTATGTTGGAAGATTTTTCGAATTATTTAAATGTTAGTGACAGGAAAACTGAAGCAAGTTTCCCCAACTTTCAATTAAAAAACACTTCTACGCCTAACAAACAACCAGAGAAAAAAGAAGAAAATGCTGGGAATTCAGTGGAAAATGAGATAAAAGAACATAAAGTGTCTCCTATTATTAGTGGTTCTCCAAAAGAATATCTAAAGGCTCCGTTGAAACGAGATAGAACTAGGCGGATTAGAGTGGGATTGGTTCATTTATCCAGCTAATATATTTGATTTTTGAGTTTTTTGCAGAGAGAAAGACTTAATAGAATTAATAGAAACAAGAATTATTGCGGAGAAATTGTATGATAAGAATAATTCGTTAATATGTAATTTTAAGATCTATAACTTTGAGTTTATTGTGATTTTAAGTTTTGGTTTTGTTTCAAATTAGTGTTACTGTCTAATTGCTACCTTTTTGGCCTGAACTTTTCAGAATTCAGATGAAAACCTAATATCACCATTGTACGGGAAATTTGGAAAAGATACAGCTGACTTGGGAAAACCAATTTAAACGGGTTGAGAAGGGTGAAACTTTAACCATTTGTAATTTTATTGAATTTTCAACACCTCGTTTCCCAACTTTGCTTTATTTTTCCTGAACTGCAGATAAAATCTCCTATGATGTTTTTTGAAACTTATCACTGTACTTCAAAGTGTAACAAGTGATCTACAATTAAGAAAAAAAAAAAACACTACAGCACTAGAACCCTTCTAAATTCTTTTTGTCAAATGTAACTTGGTATGATGTGAAAAGTTTCCCTATTTTAGTTTTTTAACCATTTTATCTCCAGTTTATTGAAAGCTGGATTGTGGTTGCTAGTGCTTCGCACACATTTTAAATTAAGTTTTAACTATTTTGAGATCTTTTGATTATTCACTCCTATCATTTGGAAGAAATGAGAGCTTATAGAAAATCAAGCAAAAACTGGACAATTTTCTGTTAAAAACAAAAATGTTTGAATAAAATATGAGACTTTACAATTATTATTGCACTGTATACAGACAGTATTGTTTTTTTCGGTTCCAATGCAGACCAAGGGCGGTTTAAAGGGGGGGGGGGGGGTAGAGGGGGTAATTACCCCCCCAGACAAAGATTTTTTTTAAACACTTAAGAATAAAATTTCAACAAAAGACAAGTTCTATAAAGTAAAGCATAGAAGACATTGTATAAATTGATAGGCTCACCAGTATCGACGTACCTACTACTATACAGTGAAATAAAAGGTATTTCATTTGAAAAAAAAGCTATGGTTGTTTGAAATATCTGGTTTTGTGTACAGTTACAAGTTACAGTATTGCGAACACCCTATAGAATGTTATCAGATTTTCATAGGACCATGAAGTAAATGTAAGTATACACTAACAGCAGCCTGCAAAAAATTTAGCTTAAGGATCTCAAATGAATGAAATGTGTTGTTTTTTGTTGATACATGCATTGACACATGCAAACTGCGATTTTTTGAAAAAGTTTCAAATATTTCAAAAAGTACTTGAATGTAGAAATTTTCCTGCATTCGAATACATGAAATCTGATTGTTTTTTATGAAGATAAATTATGCGCAAACTTGTAACGTCACACCGGCTAAACTCCGAAATGCCAGCCTCCCGTTCGTTCAGTCCTCAGTGAACCGTGCCCTATACTTTGAGTGGTTGCCATTCGCTCTAATGAGATCGTGGACATTTGTTTTGAAAAATTCTTACACGTGTTAAAACTGTACTTCCGAAGCCGGTATGACGTCACAGCCTAGGCGTTCGTAACTTGTGATGGGTTCAAATTTCAATCCGATTATTGGCTTGATTTCTATACAGTAAATAAATTCATGATCAATATTATGCAATAAATTATCAGTCGTGAGCACAGAAAGTGGGACACCCGTTTTTTTCTATTGTAAAACGGGTTCACCCAGCTATACCTAAGGCAATGACAGGAATTGTCATATTTGATAAAAAATCCATTGTAGAGAAAAGACTGATTTATGCAAAATAGACTGATTTATGCAAAATTACAAGACCTGTCAGTCGAGTGTCCCACTTTTTGGGTTAGTGCAAACGCCGATTTATTGAAAAAGTTTCAAATATTTCAAAAAGGGTCGAGTTTTTATAGAAATTTATAGATTTGCTCACAGATGGGCACATAATTGACCCATTAGTATAGGTAATTCCTAAGAAAAAGTATATAGGATTGTTATAACAATCCATTAATGTTCTAAAATGTAAGGTGTTCCATTTAAAATAACAAAGGTCTGTCACATACCTCATTTACGGAACACCCTGTGTATATTCAAAAATATTTTAAACTACTAATGGATCTTAGAGTATTAAACAACTTTGTAAGTTAATTTTTTTTTCTTGCATTACCCTGGAAGGAGATATCGTCTACTAAGTGAACACCCTGTATAACTATTTTGCCGGCATCGGGCATTCAGGTGCAAATTTGGGCGTGGCACCCTTAAAAAAATTTAGCCTCCGGCGGGAAGCCATTCGACACTTAATGATTTTCCCGTCATCCATTTCCCCCCCCCCAGAAAATCATCTATGGACCGCCACTGATGCAGACATGTTTAATCATTGTTTAAATCTCCTGAAATAGATGTTTTATTCCTAAGTATAGTTTGGTACTTCGTCACTGGTAAAAGGAAATATTGTGTGATATTCAGACCAATTTTTCTTCTGTTGAAAAAAAATAATTTAATAAAAAATAAATGTTTAATATGTAAATAAAAGTGGAACTTAGAGAATATTGAAAATAATTTGTTTTAATTTGTAAAAAGAAATATGTAATTATATTAGGTATGACCCATTATAGAACTGAACTCAATAGATTTGAAAAAAAAAAGGATTACCTGTTTTTCTACTATATAGTTCCTCAAAAATATAACCTTTAGAACGTGAAGGATATTTTTAACTATTCAGGGTACTTGTTTATGTAATTGATACATAAATTACTATTTTATTGCCGAGCTCCGGATTATTCCGGATGTTGTTGTTGGGGACGGTCAAGCAATGGCCCACTCGCATTTTGATTATTGTTGTGATATGCCTTCTATCAATGTATTCCAAGTTGTAGAACCATGGAACTCTTTGTATTTGCTGCCCTTTTTGTCCTGTGTGCTCTTCCACTTCCTGTTCCATATTGCTTTGTGGTCCTTTTTAAATTTCGGGACGTGTTCCTTTATGTTGAGCTGAATTGGGTATAGCACCCTCAGGATCCTTCCCACCTTGGCTAGCTGGTCTGCAATTCCATTCCCTTAAATATTAGAATGTCCTCCAAGACGTATATCCAGGCCTTGGTCATTTGCCTCGATTAATTGTTGTTTTATTAATGCCCTTATATGAAGTCTCGGTTTTTTTTGTGTTTGCTGATTAGTGACATCTGTAGATCTTGATGTTTCTATCCAGGTGTTCCAACCCTCCGTAACACTTCACCAATCCTGGTGCCTCTCTTCTGCCAAAGTAACCGCCTTCTGTAGTTAAAGTTCTAAATTCTTTAATTAAAGTTATATATAATTATGTTGTCTCGACAGCCCGTGTTTTTAAGAATGAATTTCTTTGTTAGCTATTTCCTCCTTACTTTCAGGGATTGTTCTCCAGCTTCGAATAGCAGTAAATTAGTTGGTGTTGACCTCATGCATCCCAATACTATTCTTAGTGCTTGAAATTGTATCGTGTCCAGTTTCATTTTGTTCAGAGCGGTTATGGGTTGGAGTGATTGTGAGCCTTAATCCAAATGCGTTCTTACAATCCCTTCATATATTTGAAGCAGGGTTCTGGGATCTCCTCCCCGCCAGACTCTCGTTGAACTCTTGATAACATTTATTCCTCTTTGTGCGCCTTTTGTCATTTTAGTAGTTTGCTTGGTACAATTCAGGTTATCTGTGAATATCACTCCCAAGTATTTGTACTCCCTGGCCCATGGTATCCTTCTGTCCTGGTACTCTACATGATTTTAAGGAAAGTTGTGCACTCTAGGTTCATATGTCATGGCTGAGAATCTTTGAGTATGGATATTTTAAAATTCAGGCTCCAAAACAGTAGCGCTAACAGATCCTTTTAAAGCTGATTCATTGTGACGATCATCATAATAATGATAATGATTGCGAGGTCGTCCGCATATTGTAGAATTATGGCTCTTCCCCGTGCCATGTTGTGAATGCAGCTCCCCTATATATTGAACAGGATTGGGCTGAGTGGTGATTCTTGTGCTAACCCCGTAGATCTTTCTTTAGGTCTATCATTTCTCCATTTTTGTCCCTGATAAATAATATCCTGTTCTTAATTACTTCGAAAATGCAATTCTTTATAGTTAGGTGGATTCGATATATGGTGGATTCCCATTTTTCCCATTTCCTGTATATGTTCACGTGATCATATGGCCCCCTTTATGTCCAGGAATACGACAAGTATTTAATTTTCTCATTAAAGTTTCTTTGGATCTCCAATGTCAAGAAAGCTTGACATTCGAGGCATCCCGCCTTTCTCCTTCTGAATCCTATTTGTAGAGTTGGTAATACAAGTTCATTTTCAATTTGCCATTCTATTCTATTCTTAACAATACCTACTCTACAAGATTTTACATACACACGATTCCAGGGAGATAACACTATAGCTCTTTGCCTCCCTGCAGTTTTAGTTTTCTTTAAGCATCGGAAATATTATTATACCTCTTGGTATATTTTTGTTACCTATATATTTCAATCAAAATCTCCTTCCTACTTCTTGGCATTTGTTTAAGCATCGACTATGAAATCCCATCCATTCCTGGAGCCGAATCTAGTTTTCTGTGTAATACAAACTCTAATTCTTCTAAAGTCACCCTTTTTTCCTCATTCTGCCTGGTTTGTTCCATCCTGAATTCAAGACCTATGTTTACCAGGAGGATGTAATCAATAATTTCCTTTGCTAGTACTCTACTCTTGGCAGCCCTTCCTTGGTTGGTTTTCCTGTCAAAGCGTTTGAAAATGTTTTTATCGTTTTCCATATTTCTGCAACCGGAGTGTTACGATTTAATTGATCACAGTACTTCAGTCCTTTCATCCAGCAATTTCTCACACTCTGGATACCACCAAGGTGTTACGTTTTTGTTGCTTTTCTGTCCTGTTTTTATTGCAATTGCTTCCTCCACTGCGTCCTGGATCGCTTTTTCTAGTTTGCTGTAGGTTTTAAGTTTTTTTTTTTCCTACGCATGCTCTCATTATTCTCTCCTGGGATAATTGCCAATTTGCTTTTTTATAGTTCCTTCTAATTATCTTGTTGTTTGGGATTGCGAGACTTATTTTTCCAAATAGTCATATTTATTGGGAAATGGTCACTGTTTACAAGTCTAATTATGTTCAAAGATATTTTTGTTGCCAAGGAGGGGGCCGGATGCGAATGAGATGTCTGGGGCTAGAGTCGAGTCCATTACCATTTCCTTAACTATATTTCCATTTCTGTTGGCTACTGAGCTTCCTCAAGTAGGATGTTGCCCATTGAGGTCTCCTATAATCAACATATATTGGATGCTGGATATTGTGAATTATAGTCTTCAGGTTGAGGGATGTTTACTATTAATTAGTCTAATTCTTTGAATTTGAAATTTTTCTGGAAGGTTTATGCGTGGTATTTAATATTTTACATACTCTAAATTTCCTTTGATAAGAAGAGCTATTCCACCTTTCCCATCCTGTGTATCTTCTCTTAGAATGTTATATTTTTTAAGCTGAAACCTATGTTCTTTCTATGTTCCATTGTAATACATATTATATTCATTGTTAGTAGTTTTTTTTTCTACTTTTCTGGTTACCACTCTTCTTCCTCCATTAGAGGAAACCTCTGATCCAATTTCGTTATGTCATCCAGGTAGTTTTGAGCTAATTGTAGATTAGTTGTTTTCATGGATCCTATCAGGAAGGCCGAATAATCTTCATTAATTCTTTCTGGGGTGTCTGGGGTAATACCAAGGCCATTATTTCTCAGTGTAATAGGCTGGAAGGAGAGTCTGGTGTTTTCGGGATACAGGCATTGATTATAAGCGGCTATATCTTACCCTTTTTCTGGCATATTTGCTGTTTTCCTTTTTTTTGGATAAAAATTCTATTGCTGTATGTGGGTTTTTTTTCTAATGTTAGTTTTCTTTTGTTTTCCAAGTATATTTGCCTGTTCTGGCTCATCTGGGTGCAGTTTGGAACTGGTCCGTTTTTTGGTAGTGCAGGGAACTAGTTTTATCTTGGTCTGAATTCTCTATTTCTGTTAACTCTGAGAACCATTTCGATGGCCTGGGAGTAGGATATGCTGTCCAATAACATGTATTGCCTTATCTGTGTTAAAGGAGTGAAATCTCTCACGCTCCTGGTGACCAACGACCATATCTTCACATTGACATTTTAGGATACTCCATGCTTGGATTGCTCGACTCTGGTGCCAGTAGAACTTTAGTAAGGTTACCTAGGTACGCACAGTTGCTAATGGTCAGGTGTGTAAAAGTATCGGTTACACAGGAAATAGAGGAAATGCTGAAATTTGGTGTCATAGAAAGATCCAATAGTTCCTGGTCAAGCCCTGGTATGTCTTGCTAAGAAGAAAGATGGTTCCTTTCGATTTTGTATCGACTTTAGACATTTAAACCTTCACACCAAGAAAGATGCGTATCCTATTCCATATATTGCTACTATTTTAGATCAACTACGTAACACCCGATTTGTTAGCTCTAGGGATATCAAGTCTGCTTTCTGGCAAGTACCTTTAGCCACAAACTCATGAGAATACACAGCTTTTACTGTTCCTGGCTTATTCCAATATTGTAGGATGCCTTTCGGTTTGTCCAATGCTCCTGCTACTTGGCAACGCATCGTGGATACCATCTTGGGTACAGAACTTGAACCAAATGTTATGGTTTACCTCGATGATATTGTTATCACCACGAGTAATTTCCCTGAACATCTGAAACTTTTAGAAACCGTTTTTGATCGTCTTTGTGATGCTGGTCTTATTGTTTCCGTAGAAAAATGCAGTTTTTATAAGCTCGAGTTTAAATACTTTGGTTATCTGGTTGATGACAAAGGCTCAAGATCTGACCCTGAGAAAGTGGAGGCCATCATTAATCTTTCCGCTCTTCGCAACATTAACGAAATACGCCGCTTCATTGGCACAGCATCTTGGGACAGGCGGTTTGTACCCAATTTTTCATCCCTTTTATCTCCCATTCTGAATTTGACAAAGAAAAACTTTAGATGGGATTGGACTCCCGATTGCCAAAGATCTTTTACCCTTCTCAAGGTATGTTTGGTAACTGCTCCGGTATTGTCTGCCTCAGATTTTGAAAAAAGCTTCTTTTTACAGACGGACGCTTCGTCTATTGGACTTGGTGCGGTTCTCACTCACAAATTCGATGAGGGCGAAAAAGTGATTTGTTATCTTTCCCAATCTCTCACTCGGCAGGAGATGAAACTGCCTGTTACTGAAAAAGAATGTCGCAGATTATTTCTATCCTGGGATCGAAAAACTCAGGTGTCAGTTATCAGATATTTCACTGTATACTGTGGTTTTGGTTGTGCTAGCTGAAATACACTGTAGATATTCAAGAAACAGTAGTAAAGTAAAACACAAATTAACTGTGACATTAAACTTTATTCAATTTTTTACCAGCCAAAAAATTGGGGGCGCAAGTGCAAATCTAACAGTATTTTAAAAAGACATTTATTTATTTAACTACAAGAGCCTTGGATTGTCCACAACTGAGACTAAAGGCCAATTTCTTTATCAACAATTAAACTTTTCCCAGGACTAGAAAATTGAAATGTTTCATAAAAAAAGTTGTATTCAATTTCAATTTTCAAGCTAATAAAAATAACAATACTTTAATTGTTAACAAGGAAACTGCTCTAAAAAGTATTTCTAATCTTCAGTTAACTTACTAAAAGACCAAAATACAGTCTTTAAACAGGGGCTCATGCGATTACACCACAAAAATATAGATTTTCAATTAAAAAATATAAGTATTTATATAAAGAATAGAAAGAGAAGCACCATTTATGTATAATAATAATAAACAAAAAATACATTATTTACAAATAATCAAAAAATTGTTAAGTCATTGCACTATATAACTAAATTTATGTATTAAAACAAACAAATACATACAATTATTGCAACATTAAAAGACATTTGTACTTCAGTATTTGCAATAGAAAAATAATTAGAATTCTAATGCAAATAAGTAAAAAAGTCACTATAGTTAATTTAATTTTGTTTTAAAAGCATTTAAAAGTAATATGGCAACAAACTATATTAGACCGCATTTTTAAAGGGGCTTTGGAAATCCGATATATTTAATCACAATATTTCCAATTATTTTTTTTTGTAAACATTTTCAAAAAAAGGCACTCCGTTCACTAACTCGGAGTTTCCAAAACCCGTTTCACATTTAAAATACACAAATTGACAACGTACGTATTTTTGTCTCATCTAAAGAAGAGTTTTGACATGTAAATTATGAACAATTTAGTTTTAATGACAAAAATCTGAAATCAGAGGTTCAATTCTTGATCTAATCTCTTCATAAGTTATTTTTTTGTCAAACACTGACAATATTATTATATTGAAATAAACGACTGAATCTACACTAAACAGCAAATTGCTTACCTGGAATAAATTGGGAAACTGTATACCTCCGATTTACAAACTAAAAATCAATAAACCTGAGACAAAGTTTGTTCCAATGTCGACCAAAATCATTCAACCAATATCGCCAGAAAATGATAATTTAAAAATTGGAACCAGTCCATATAAACACCAAACAAAATTTGCTCTTAAATTATTTTGGGTACGATTATTATTCCTCACCCAAATCTTATCGATTATAGCCGCCCATAAATTCGTTCAAGTCTATTCCTACGTAGCTCGTCTCGTCCAAACCGTCCAAATAGTCCATGTGCCCCATTGGTGCTCCCCCCACTCCAGTAGCTGTAGTCGCCACGGAACCTGCGTAACTGCAAACACAACATAACCAGACTTTAAATTATTTTTTATTGTGAAAACTGCAATACAGACTCTAACCATTTGTATGTGAAGAATGGGTCCTATTTTTCTTGCGGGCCGGAATTTTGAAGAAAAAGCACAATAAGCAGATGAATAAAATTAAACAAAAATGTGTCTGGTTATGTCTGTTTTGCAGCATGCACGTTCATTTTGGTAAAAAAAGGGCTCGACAAAAATTTCAAACGATTTTATTTAAATATATAAAAGTTGTTTTATATAAAAATGAAGACTTGTCTAAGACAACACGATGTATAAAATAATAATAAAGTATAAGAAAAAGCATAAAAAATATTTTTGTCGCAAAAATTAAAACAAATTATCACTATTTTGTAAAGCATTAAGTAGGTTTAAAAAAAGAAGTGCCTCCTAGAGATCAAGGACGCTCTGAAAACTGAAGACAAAAAAAAAGAATGTGTAAAATCTCTATTGACATGCCAAAAATTAAATGAAATGTGATAAACAATGACTGGTATAAATGAAAATATTATGTTGGTGCAAGCTTAAGTAATTTTTCTTACTGAGTGATACTTGATAAGCAACATGTGTGGCAGAATCTGTAATTTTTGAGCCTGCTAGACTTGTGAATTGCATTTTGTTAAGTAGTATTCTCCCAGACTCGGCCAATAGGGAATTCTACAACCTTTGCCCTTTTGTTGGATTGGTTTCTAGATTGTCAAAACATTAAACTTTCTGCTAATCAAATGGGTTTTGTTCCATTTCAATGCCCCAGAGCAGCATTCAAAAAAAACATAATGTACTTTTTCTGTCTTCTCATTAATTAGTAAAACGTACCAAGCCTTTGATTGTTTAAAAGGAAACCTTGTAAGAATGATACAAATGCCAAATATTCAAATATCAATGGAATCCAAAATTCATCTACACAAGTCTAGTAAGTCATAAAACCAAATATTTATCCCAATATCATGAGTAAAAATGAAATAATGGATGATGGCTACATAAAGAATTCATCCTCATACCTGCTGGCGACAGAAGGTGTGTCTCTAGTTGCATCAGGGCTCATAAACACGTTGTGATGAGGGGTGTTGTAGTTTCCACCCAAACCCAGCACTTGGGTAACCAGTACCGGCCTCACATAGCCATTTATGGGTTGCTGTTGATCTGGAAGTAATTGTTTGTTAACATCAAATTTCACTTTTTTTCCAAAGAATCGTACCTTGATATGGAGTATAGTATTTCTGGAAAAACAATTCTTTAGCAGTGTCAGGATACAAAGTAACCAAATGGCTTAGGTCAGCAATTCTATCCGCTAGAGATCTAACGGAAAAATCTTTAGCTGTAAACGGTTGTAAGCTAAAAACTTCTTGAGTATCTGTAATCCATGCTATTGTGATCCCTCCTAATTCACTATCAGAGAATCTGAGCAAAAAAGTGCCTGCTGGACATGTGGAAAGCATTTCTTCAGCTTGCTTTTTCTTAACAAACCCCATTATAGCACCATCCACCCATGGCCCTCTCAAATGCTCCCTAGTCAATTTCATTATAGCAAAGAACCATTCCCAAAAAGTGAAATTTCTTTCACTCAGAGGCTCTTTACAAAATTGGGCCCAGCTAAGCAAATTGTTCGTGGTTTCGTTGTAATTGCCTCTGAAAGCTTTTTCGGCCAAAAATCGTAAGTTGTCATCTGTCAAACCTCTGCCGGTGGCCCATTTGAATTTTAGCGATAAGGTTTCCTTCATCTTGGGCCATGGTACTTTCTCGGGAACCTGGAAAGGACACCTGCCAGGCTCGCTGAATGCATTATCCCAAGTAACGGTGGCCCAAGCGTGAGGCTCTTGGTTACCGTGGACTATGACGACGACTGGCAAACTTAAGGTCCAAACCTACACACACAAAAAAAAAAGATCTGTAATTTTAACATTGTTTGTAAATTTGGGTTGGTGAACTGGCTATCAATTGATTGATAGTTAGAGCAATGAATATATTGATCATTCCTACCTGGAACATGAGTTCACCACCACCAACACTGAATTGTGACTGAAAGAAAAGCGAAAATTTTTCATCCATAACACTTTCAGTTCCCTTCTTTTCAGCCCTCTTGATTTTTTTCAATTGCATATTCCTAAAACTAACTGAAAGCTGTCTGGTGGTCTGCTGATATTCCATTGTTCCCGTGTTATTGAGAATTTCCCCTGAACTGTCGCCTCCTTTAAGCAATTTGTCGTTTTTCAACAATAAATTAGCTTGAGACTCGGATATTATGGTCACTTTGACTTGTGGCGGAGACATGTGCACATTTAATTTTCCACCTACCAATAGGCGAACTGTAGCAAGAAATCTTGTGTTGGTTTTCATAACTTGAGGAGGTTGTTTTTCTATGATAAATGTACTGGTGACTAATGAAGATAACAGTTGCGTGATTTCTGTTAAAATTGTTGGCAAAACATCCACTACTCCTGGAGGATCAAGAGCCAATTTTTGCTTAAGCCTCTCCACTTCCTTGATCTGTTGTCGATTGTGCCAAATAATTTCAGCTAAACTTTCACACCAGTCTTGGATTTGGTCCAAGTTACTAGTAAATGGAACACCATTTCCTGACAGTTGTTGATCTCGCTTCCACCTAATCAATTCCTCATCAATAATTTGACTCTGAAGCTGAGTCAATACTTGATATGTTTGACGTAGTTTTTCAGTTATTTTTAAACGCAATTCCATTAAGCCTGCCACTCTTCGATTCAATTCCTGCTCCAACATTTCTTTTCGGTTTATGTACTGTAAAGTCTGTTGATCTTGAACAGCCGCAGGACCACCTTGATTTTTCAACTGCTGCAAATGTGCATTTACTTTTGTACACTCGTGATATTGCAAGGCGAAAGCCTCTTGTTCCTGCTCCAACTTTCTCGTATCCTCAGACGTGGCCTGAGTTCTGCGTCTTAGATCGTCCAGTTTGTGCAAAACTTCAGAGGCTGAATTGGACATGGCTAAAGCCGGGGCCATTCCCATAAAATCAGCACCTGCTGCTTGTAAAAATTTCATTTCGGCTGCTAGGCATTGACGGATGAAGTTGAAGAGTTGCATTGGATTTGCACTGGAAGGAAGAGAAGATTGGAATTTTTAAGTGTTTAAGATAAATGAAAAGATTTGTAGTTACTGAAGTTTAAAAAGTGGCAGCACATGAGACTAATAAGTGAGCAAGCTTGGAGTTATTTGGAAAAAATCACATTTGCTGAAGAAATCGCCCAAAATGTACCAAAAAAATATTAGTTGGAATATCTTCCTCAGATTTTGGAAAGTTGTCTATTCAAGCATATACTGTCATTGATCTTTCTATCTGGGAACAGTGGCAACTCTTAATTAACTATTAAAAATTGCCATCCCATTAGATTTTTTCTTGGAAATTCTCAAAATAACCTTTCCATTTCAGCATAACTGATGGGAAGAAGAAATATAGAGCAGTTCATTGCAAATTCGTAACTCGTCTCAAGACCTACCTGGCTTGTGAAAGAGAAAGACAAGCTTCTCATAGCAATTTTAAGCTTTCGGAGGTAGCAATTAGGTGGGCTATTTCAAAGCTGTTACTGGTCAATGAACACAAGTGAACTTAATAGGTTCATAGCTTTTGCAAATCTAGTACAAGTAAACAACGTGCGCAACGCGAACAATGTATTGTTGGATTTGGTTATTGTTAGTTCTGGTTTACAGAACTTTAGGGTGGTCACTGATGATGATTCTTTACTGCCTGTGGACCAACATCATCCAGCATTGTGTAACTATCGATAGAGAGTATGAATGGACTGAGTGTGAACAAGTTCAAACAAGAAAGTTTAATTTTAAGAAAGCTAATTACCGAATAATCATACAATATTTATTTATTAGCAATAGCAATAGTTACAATATAATTATAATTCTATGATATACAAATCGTAGACATATTATGTACTTGAGATAAAAATATTCAAATTTAATTTACTTAAAAATTTAATGCAATACCTACACATAGTTATATCAATCTTAATACAATTTCCTAATACTGCTAACATTATTAGATGCACAATGGTATTTATAATACTGTGTGTGCACCCCATTAAACTTAATTCATTTAAAATATTTTATTTTGAGGTTTGTACTTTCATTTAATATTTTAGGTTTTAATACAATTTAACAAATAACAATTTCAACATTTCAGATGTAATTTCTTTGTACAATAAATTTCTTCCTATCTTCAAATATACCAATAATTGTTTGTTTGTACTTTTTATATCACATAATTAATCCTATATCCACTATCAACAATCCATTTTGTTAAGGGTTTTTTAATTTTGCAATATGTTTTTTGTTTAAAGCTATCAGGTAAGTCATTGTAAACCTTTGGACCCACACAGTAAATGTGATTTTGACAGGCTGTGTGCTTGGGGTTCTGCAGTTCAACCTTTCCTTGAGTGGCACTTCTTGTATTTTGTCCGTGTTTTAAATTTTCTTTGTAGTAGTTGTTCTTTATCATGAATCTCAGGACTGATTTTAAATAAAGCTGTTCTATGGTTAGAACATTACTATCTTTGTGAGTAAGAGCTGTAGGATATCTTTTTTTCTTAAACAGCATAGTCTTTATAATCCATCTTTGGGATACCTGTAATTTTGATAGTGTTGTTGTGCCTGCATTCCCCCACAACACCAAACCATAGTTTATCATGGACTCCACTAACGCACAATAAATTGTCTTTAACGTTTTTAATGTAAGCATTTTTCTTAGTTCATAGAATTTGTGTATTAGTTTCCTTACTTTTGCAGTTATATACTCAACATGTTCTTTCCAAGTTAGTTTTTCATCCAAAATAACTCCAAGGTATCTTAGGCTAGACTTTCTTTTTATGATCATATCACACTCACAATGTAGGCCCAAATCACATTTTGAATCATGAACTTTGATGCACTCGAAATCCGGCAGTGAGCGAGAGGAAAGCGAAAAAGCCACAAAATTGGTTTTCTCTACATTAAGGGAAAGTAAACTTTCATCCAACCAGTTCTTAATTTTTTGTAATGCTTTTTCTGCCTTTAGCTTAGTAATTCCCCAGTCGTTACCACTTATTATAATACTTGTATCGTCAGCAAAGCAATAGGTATTAATATTCTCATCATCAAGCTGCTCCATTATGCCATTTATGTAAATGTTGAATAACAAAGTTGAGAGCACTGTACCTTGTGGCACACCAAATTCTACCTGCAATGCATTACTTTCTTGTCCAGAGACAACTGTGGTTTGTTTCCTCTCAGCCAGATACGACTTAATAAAGTTATTTGGAATACCCCTGACTCCCACACTCTCTAATCGTTTCAATAAAATTTGGTGCTCCACAGTGTCAAACGCTTTTCTCAAATCCAAAAAAACCCCTACCACTTTTTTCCCTGATCTAGATTTTTAAGTATCTCTTCTGTAACCTTTACAAGAGCATTTTCAGTATTTGCATGATCCCTGAAAGCAAATTGATTTGAGTTGAGAAGGCAATTTTTCTCTAAAAAGGTGTTTAATTTTCTCCTAAAGCATTTCTCAATGATTTTACTCACTGTACTAGTCAAAGAAATTGGTCTATAGTTATTTAATAATTTTTTATCACCTTGCTTGTATAAGGGTATGATTTTAGTATTTTTCAATATATCAGGGAAAATACCAGCAGCAAATGATAGATTTGTTATGTGCTTAAGCGGAATGCTGAGATTTTCTTTAAAAGTTTTTATTACATTAGATGAAATAGCATCATTTCCACCCTTTACCCCATTCTTAAGGCTCATCACTTCTCTAATTATATCATCACTTGTCACAGGACTCAAAAAAAACGAGTTTTCACTCCTCCTCTCCCTCACACCATGATTCCGAGCGCCTCCAGTAATCTTTCCTGCCAAATGTTTTCCTATATTACAAAAATAAGAATTGAATTCATTCGCAATCTGTTTTTTGTTTGTTATTTCCGAATTTACCTGGTTATTAATTGCTTTTATTTCTGACCTACAGACCTGATCATTGGTGGCCTCCCTAATCACATTCCATAGTTTTTTTGAATCATTTAAATTTCTTTGAGCTAATAATTTGTAATAAGTATACTTTGAATTTTTTATTAACTTACCCAAAATTTTTCGATATTCTTGATACCTATTCAAAATTATAAAATTGTTGGGATTCAAGGTAGTTTCCTTTTTAAGGCGGTTTCTATTTCGAATTGACAATAAGAGCCCACCAGTGATCCAAGGCTTCAATTTCTTCTTCTTGTTTGGTATTGTTTTTATAATTGTTGATTCCATAATCATATTTTTTAATTTGTTCACAAATATATTTGTACACAATTCTACATTATTCTCCTGCAAAACCTCACCCCACCGCTCACCCTCAATTTTTTTTGCCAGAATTTTATGATTTATTGATTTGTAAGTATTATTATTATCTAAGTTGTTAAAGGATGTTTGTAACCGAATGTTAAGCAGAATGGGGTGATGATCAGTGAGATCATTTTCCAAAATCACAGCCCTAATATTGCTAAGAAGGTCACTCTTACATTTAATAAAAAAGTGATCTAAACAGGTACCTCCATTTTCAGTAACTCTTGTGGGTTTATTTATTGCACTTACAAAACCATGCCCCTGTAATAAAGTCAAGTAGTTATTTGTCGAGTCAGATTCCTTAGATAACAGATCTATATTAATGTCACCAGCAAACACATACACTCTGTTTTGATCCATGCTTGATTGCTGCAGTAGTCTTTCCAAATTTTCAATAAGTTCTTCTTTTGTAACGGCAAAACATCTGTATGTAGCAAGGATCTCCACAAATTTTTGGTTTTTTTGGAGTGTGACTTTGATAATTTTTAACTTATTATCTTGGATTATCCTATCTTCAATGTGGAGGTCACTTTTGACATAGATTATGCACCCATCACATCGGTTAAGACTACTTTCATTGAAGAACAATCTGTAGCCAGGTATGTTAAAGTCATTTGTGCAGTACACATTGTGGGTTTCCGACATAATTATAACATCAAAGGACTTACCTAGTGATTCAAGGAACACCAAAAATTGATCGAAATTTTGGTATATACTACGTATGTTGACATGCATAATATTAATATCACTTGCTTTATTGTCAAAGTAGTTTATTTGGCATAAGCTGTCACATTCCCTTGTTTCCAGGATATTATTATAATCATCCAGAATATCATTCAGCTCCATGAATGCAAAATTAGTTTATTTAGGGTTGTATTACTGATTTATATGATTTATTGGAGTTTTTCAAGATCGGAGTCGCATCTTATTTTAAGGGCCTGGTCAGTTTCGTTAATTTTAAGAAAAATTGTTCCATTGATATAGAAGGCTGCCTTATAGTTTTTTTGTTTCCTTAAATCCCTTGTTTTTTTGAAAAGCATCCTTTTTGCCACTGGCATGTCCTCATTAAAGAATATTTTTTTGTCATCCCCGTCCAAGCCACATTGCTTTGTAGATATACCTTTTATGTCCTTTATTCTCCTAAGTACATCCTTTTTAGCTTGCTCATTGTTCATTTTCAGTAAGATTGGCCCTTCTCCTTGTTTATCCACCCTGAAACACTCCAAAATTTCACTATTTGCCGTTTGCAGTTGCATGGCTACAAAAATCTTTTTAATAGTTCCTACTGTGTCTAGCCTGGTTTGTTTTGGGACCCCTGCAACTATCAGGTTTTTAGATTTTTCAGTGACCTCAAAAGCATCCATTCGGCCTTCCAACGACTGCAGCCGCTTCTTCAACTCCTCGTTTTCCTTTTTAAGGACTTGATTTTCCATCAGAGCGCCCTCGAACACTCGCTTTTGGTCCTCGAAAGCATCAGACATAAATTGAATTGAGGCCCCAAATTCAGTAATTTTTTTATCAATTTTCTGCTCAAATGGGCCCAGGTAGCTTTTAAATGATTCCTTAATAATCTCCCTAAGCCTTTTTTCGTCCATTTCCAAACAATTGTCCGATTTTTCGCTGTTTTTTCGTGTTGTGCTTGGTGGTCTAACCTCACTCTTGCCAATATCACAACAGACAAATTTTTTTCCACTATTATGTTTAGCTACCCTGGCTGAACAGCTAGGATGGTATTTCTCCTCACAGTTTTCACACTCACTAAACTCTGAGACGATATGATGCATAATGTGGATTGGGATGAACTGTATGAATGTAAGACTGTTGATGATACATTGAAAGTTTTTTATAGGAAAATAAATGAGATATTTATTGGGTGTGTTCCCCTGGCTACTCAAGTCGGTAGGTCATTCCCAGTGTGGTATAACCGAGAAATAATAAAATTGATAAAAAATAAAGTACAAAAGACATAAATTAATATATATTGGAACAACAAATTTAAAAAAGTACGAGCCTTAGTCAGAAAGTAAATAAAGAATGCATACAACAGGTACATATTTAGGTAAGGTCAGTTATAGCATGTGCATGCAGAATTGAAACTAAAAAAAATGTATCTCAACAAAACTTTCCAATTTTCATTGAATATACTTTTATGTTATTTATTTGAAACTTCTTGCATCTAGCTTTAGCTGAATAAATAGGAGAATAACCAAGCCCATTTGGTATAAGGCCAGACCTGATGCAAATTTAGAAGAAAAAACATGTATTAAGTTCATGCAAATTTAAATTGTTATAATGCACATTGTGCAATAATGAAAAATTATTATGAAGGTTGAATATTATCGAACAATTAATGAAGACAATATCATATTACTGCTACTGCATACATTTAAAATTATTACATCTCAATTAAAATTTTATGTTATTTACACAAAGATTAGATAGCCAAACTACATCTTGCAATCTTTTCTACCAAAACTATGCCATGTTCAGGGAAATAGATAATTTTCAGGCTTCCGGAGCAAATAGAATAATTTAAAACACAGGATCCAGCCAAAATAATTTAAATCTAAGGCAAATACTATTTCATCATGCATTGGCAAAATGTGATTTCAAGGAATAACTCTCGGGTTTCTTGACCTCTCACCACAGAGAGGTCATTTTGCTCACAGACAAAAAAAAAATTGTTTTATCATCACTTTGTTGTGGTTTTACGAGAATGATTTACTTACATATATTTTATTATCTGGTCTATTGTATTTAGCGACAACAAAATTCAATATTGAATCAGGTTAAAAATGATAAATATACAGAATACAATAATTTAAGTTTGGCATTTTAGAAATTTTCAAAGTAACCCCTTGTCTTCATGAGCATAGACAAAGACCAGAGTCCAAGCTAAAAACTATCATGCAATGCTTTGGGGCTCTAGTCTTACTTAGGGCGGGTATTAAAAAACTATTTTGACAATTAACTGAAAGTTAACTCATGGAATGACGTCGCATGTCATAGTTAACTTCAAAATTCCGGAGTTAACTTTATTGGGCGGATGGGGTATCGGTTAAAGTTAACTTTGTAGAAAATTGTGGTTTTCGACAGTTCTTCTGTCAATAATTCAGTATTCAGCAAAGAAACGACAATTTGAGAAATAATAAATAACAGGAACAGAAACCATCAAAACTTGAATCCGAGCCAAAAATTCTAGGTTACCTTTCTCGGTTTTGTCCTCTGCTTTTTCTTATTTTTCTTCTTTTTATTTTAGAAATGGGATTTTTAAAAAAACTGACATTTTAAAAGCTAAAGTTAACTTGAGTGTTACAAACAAAGTTAACTTTGAAACATGTTTACAATAAGTTTTATAATACCCGCCCTTAGACTTTACGTTGTCAATGTTGTTATCTGGTCTATTGCTGTACCCCATGACAAAAAAATTAAGGTGGATAGTATCCATATTTATGCGTTAGCATAATTAATCAACAGTTGCATAAAATTTCTAATAAATCTAGCAAAAAAATAACAATAAACAGATTACTGCTATTTTCTTAGAAAATAAAAATGTCAATATCACAGTAAAATTCCCACCTGTATCTTTGTCGAAACATTTTTGCAGCCTCAGCCAATTTGAGTTTTATTAAAAAATACTCGGAAGCCTCAGTAGAACCTTCAGCCTTATTTTCAATCTCTTGTATGAATTGATTGACTAAACTGCTCACATATTGCTCATAGGCAGGAGTGTCTTGCAACGGGATCACTTCAGACCTGAAAAAATAACATATTTAGCATTTTTGGGAAATTTGCAATTTGTGTGGCACTTACCAAAATTTTTCTTCTATAAACTGAGCCAAATAATGACGAACTTCTATGGGGAAATGTTCTCCATAAATATCTCTGATGTGTTGCAAATGGACACTGTCTGGCGGCAACTGTTGTGCTTTTGCCCAGAGAGCCATTGTTGCCAAGCTATGTTCTGCAAAAAAAAATTATTTTGTAAAGTATAGTAGTCTGTAGGTACTACGTACAGGGTATCCCATTTTGGTTTTAAATAAGGGATAACTCAGTTGCTATTGGAGTAAGAAGGATGCGGTTTCCACAAATGTTGGCTACTTTTTTGTCAAACAAACAGAATTGTCATTGCCCTTCTTGTTTTTCATATACAAGGTGTTTTTGTTAATGTTGCATTTTGGGACACCCCTTGTACATATCTTGGCTCTCATAAGTTATTCTTATAGATCTTTCTACATAGATTCCAATGACAAAAAGTAGATACCATAAAAAAAACTCCAGAGGTAAAAGTTGGTGAATCTGGGGTTGAGATCACTCTGTTTGAGATTAAAGAAAGAGAACGACGAGCTGGCAACATCCTTTTTTTTGGCGTGGATGAGTAAAAAAAAACCAATTTAAATGAGGAGATGGAAGATGAGAAACACACAGTAGATTGTACAATCAGATGAATCTGGGCTTGCCAGAGACCGCTAAAATGTTCAGGCTACGTAGCGAGACAGCTGGAAAAAAAGACCAATAAAGGTAATTTTGTCGAATAGATACGAAGCATTAAAAGCCCTCAAAAACAGGAAAATTCTTGAACAGAATGTACCAGGAGTATATATCAAGGCTGACCAAACAGAAAATTAAAGAAAATACCTGAAGCAAGTACTTATAGAAGCAAAAGAGTGAAGGAAAAGAAAATGTCATCATTAAGTACATCAATGGGATACCGAGGGTCATTGAAAAAAATGAAACACAGAGGTAGTTGAAATCTCTTTTTGGTACAGCAACCTTTCATCAGTGGTAAATAAAATAGATGAGTGGAAAGTAAGGTTATTGGCTCATAGTCCAACAATAGTTATGCTCACCGAAACCTGGTTACAAGATGGGATTGATGACAGCATAATATGTCTAGATGGCTACAGCATTTTTCGAGAAGATCGACCAAATCAAAAAGGGGGCGGAGCATGTATTTTTGTTAAAAATCAAATAGATGGGTATAACCTAAGTTGCACCCTTGCTCAAAACCACCCGACAGATGCACCTGTTGCTAGATGTACGCATAGACAAGTTAAAAATTATAGTTGCCTGTATCTACAGACCTGGAAACACCACTACTGAGCAAGCCAATACCCAGCTGACAAATACAATATGCAATGCATTTACCACAAAAATTCCAACATTCGTTTTCGGAGATTTCAACTACCCAAACATAAACTGGGAAAACTTAACTGTAACCCCAGCCGACAAAAAAACACAAGATTTTGTAGACATGTATTGTGATAGCAACATTCATCAACTTATCAAATTTCCAACACGATATATAGGAACGATCAGAGCTCATTGTTGGATTTGTTTTTATGCAGTGATCCTAGAAGTGTATTTGACCTTAAATCTGAAGCACCTATAGGGCGTAGTGATCATGTCATAATCACCGCAAAAACACAATTAAAACTCCCACCCAAACCAACAAAAAAAGTGTTGAAAAGAAACTTTCATACTGACAAATATGATAAAATAAACAACTTTATCAGACAACAACAACCCAACAGAGAGCAAAATAACTTCGAAAACTTTGAGACAGTTTTGAATGAAGCAGTTAGGATGCATATTCCATTGAGGTCTACAAAAATGAACCAGCAAAAGCCATGGATAAACCAAAATCTTTTTAGAGAAATTGATAGAAAGCGAAAATTGTGGGATGAATACAGAAAAACAGAACAGAAGAGGCCTACATGTTACAAAACAATGCTCTTAAACAAAAGCTCGAAGAGGCTAGAAAAACATATGAACATGATCTATTAAAATCAGATTCACCTAAAAGAATATACAAGTATATACGCAGAAACCTAAACTGTAAGGTGACTACAATTACACTCAAGGACCCTATTACGCAAGATATCTTAGACTCTAAATCCATGGCAGAAACATTTGCTGAACAATTTAACGAATCCTTCACTCCACGTCAAAATCGTCCCCTTCCCCAACTTCCTGTGAGTACCAGAGTACAGAACCCGATTAGCACTGTGCAGTTCACAGAAGAAAAGGTCAAAGAAACTTTAAAAAACATGAAAAAAGACTCAAGTCCTGGACCAGATGATTTTCCAACAATATTGCTACAGAACTGCAGTTGGTTCACGACTCGTGGATGCTATGCAGGAGTGTATGGAGCTAGGAAGAGTACCAGAGCAGTGGAAGCTGTCAATTGTTACTCCACTTTTTAAGAAAGGAAACAGACATCAGCTGGAAAACTACCGTCCAAGTAGCCTAACCTGTAATCCATTGAAATGTATGGAGAAAATAATGGTAAAAGAAGTAACAAATTTCTTTTTTGAAAATAACTTAATACCATTGTCTCAACATGGGTTTCTCTCAAAACGTTCAACCCCAACAAACCTATTAGAATGTCTGAATGATTGGACGGAATACCACGATAACTCCCAGCCGACAGATATAATTTACTTGTACTATGAGAAGGCCTTTGACAAAGTCCCACATGACCTGTTGCTTGGAAAGTTGGAACATTATGGAGTGCGAGGGCGGCTTTTGTCTTTGATAGCTGATCTACTGGATGAACGATACTACCAAGTAAGAGTAAATGGAGAAATGTCAAGCAAACATTTAGTTAGTAGCGGAGTTGTGCAGGGCTCAGTGCTTGGACCGCTGCTCTTTACTTCCTATCTCTTTGATCTTGTTAACCACATAGATACAAAAATGAAAAATTTTGCTGATGATGGCAAACTCTATGCAAACCCAATACTCAGTGCAGTACTACTTCAAGAAGACTTAAGAAAAGTTGAAGAGTGGTCTAGATTGTGGGGAATGAAGCTGAATGAGTCAAAATGCACGGTACTAAGAATTGGCCCAAATAACCCAAACCAGGACTACTCTTTAAATAACACTATTCTGTCGACTGTGGCAGAGCAAAACGATCTTGGAGTCATTATCACATCAGACCTCAAATGGGAAAGCCACATTGTGAAAATAGCCAAAAAAGCAAACTCTTTTGTCTATCTTATTAAACATGCATTTAGAGATCATTCAATCGAAATGATAACTAAGTTATACAAAAGTTACATCAGGACAAAACTGGAGTATGCATTCACAGTGTGGAACCCTTATTATATCAAGGATATTGAGATGCTGGAAAAAATTCAAAGGAGAGTAACAAAGATACCACCAGAACTGCAAAATCTACCATACTCTGAAAGGTTAACAAGATTTCAGATAACAACTCTAAAAGAAAGAAGGCATGGAGGGGACTTGATAGAAACTCTTAAGATTACAAGTGGATATTATAACTGTGCCATTGAAAATATCTTCCATCAAAATCAGCAACTTCGAGGACATTCCAAAAAACTAGACAAAGAAAAAGCTGCAAAACTACAACGTAAAAATTACCTTACTAATCGGATTGTACCCAGTACCGAGAATGCATTGTGTAGGGTGACGGAAACAATTTTAAAAAATCTAGACCAAGGAAAAAAAGTAATTGGACTGTTTCTTGACCTTCAAAAGGCCTTTGATACTGTGGCACACCGAATCCTGCACAAACGTCTGGAACATATTGGAATTCGAAGTGTTCCTAATAATTTAATTATGTCATATTTGACTAAAAGAAAACAAAGTGTCAATATTACAGGAGAAGAAAGTGACAGACTAGAGGCAGGAATCCGCTTGCCACAGGGTACTGTATTGTCGCCTTTACTGTTCAATATTTATGTAAATCAGATATTTTCGGTTTCAGATGAGGGTAATGTTTTTTGCTTTGCTGATGATACTGGGGTGGTGATCTGTGGGGATGATTGGGGAGAAACAAAAAGAATAGCAGAAATGGTACTCTTTAAAATTAAATGTTGGCTAGATACTTCCTTGCTATCATTGAATGTTGATAAGACTAAATTTGTTGCTTTTTCGACTAAATTTGTTGCTTTTTCGTTATCTTCGCGGTCACTTCCGGAGTATCAAAATCTTATAGTACCTGAATCACAATGTAAACAAGATAACCGGTGTCACTGCAATCAATCCATAGGCAGAAGGGACAGTTTAAAATATTTGGGAGTTATAATAGATGAGAATTTTACTTGGAAGGTGCAAGTTCAACAGGTAACTGATAAAATTCGGAAAGTTATTTTTAAATTCTATGAATTGAGAAACATTTTGCCCTTAAAAACAGTTTACTATGCTCTAGTAGAGTCCATTATGAACTATGGATTGATTGTATGGGGTAGTGCTGGAGTAACTATAATGAATAAACTACAAATAGCTCAAAAATGGATTATAAAAATCATGCTTTTCAAAAATAGAACATACCCAACGCACCTGTTATATAATGAAAGTTATTTGCTGACTCCTAATCAACTTTTTTTAATAGTATATTGTTGTATTAGGAGTAGAAGCTTTACTTTTTTGTGCTGAAGCAGTGGGTTTGCGAGCCGAACGTAGTGAGGCTTGCAATACTGCTGAAGCACAAAAAAGTGCTTCTACTCCGTATGCAACACGCTATTTTTTCTCCATACGAATGTGGTAAGCTCGGGGGTAACTGGATGGTTGAGCGGCAGTAAAAGTACGAGCGGCACCAAAGGTACTTTTGCTGCCGCTGGGGTTGCCAAGCAGCATAGAAATTAAATTTCTACCACCTCGACAGGTGTTAACCTCCTGGATTTGCCTAGCAACATAGAAATTGAATTTCTACCATCTTGACAGGTGTTGACAAAGTGATGTTTTTTTGACGTTTGGAGAAAAAATCCATTATTAGATTTATGCTAAAAAACTCAACATATCGAGAAGCTATAAATCATAATATTAATACAAGAAGTGTAATGCAAAATAATGTTATGTTGCAAAACCCTAGACATGCTGTGTGTCAAACTCACATTTATTGTGTAGGACCTAAAATTTACAATAACTTGCCTGTAAGTATAAGATCAAAACCTTATCACTTAGTAAAAAAAGCAGTTAATGA